AATACGTAACTTGAATCTCACAAGGGTTTTGCTATTTGTACATGGGGTGTTAACCGTGGTGTACACTCCCTCACAAAAGAAAGAGCTCACATCCAATAAAAAATTTGTGAACTCTATTGTAAGAGGGATGTGTGTACATATAGCAAAATCCATCCTATAGAGCCCTCTATGAATATCTTATTCATAAAATCTTCGTAATCGTACTGAATTTTGAAAATATCCGCCCATAAAATCTAACAGCAATTGGCTCGTGCTACTTGTACAAGGGGGAGGGGATGATTTTGTTGACAATTTCTCACACATAGAGTGGGTGGATAATTTTTTATTTTTTAGTCACGGTGGGATTCATCACTGTGAGAGGTTGTCAACCCCTCCGGTTCAAATTGAATTTCCCTCATTCAAATCCAAGGGTTCCATCCCACGCATAATTTTCTCTATCCGTGGACCCTATTTTTTATCCCATGAAAACCTGGGCCATAAGGCCAATTACTTTTCGACAATTCCACATGCATTGCCACGTACTTCACCAAAGTCCTTTTTACCATTAGTCCTTCTAGTTTTTAATTATAACAATCGCATCTTCAATTTAGTGGAAATACTATAAATTTATTTAGCCGTTTGGTGAATTTATTTTGAGTCAAAATTAACAATTAATTTTAATCACATATTTTATAAAATTCACAATTTTATAACAACATATTTGATCAATTTTTATTAAAATGACCCTATCAAACAAGGGCTTAATACATGTTTTACAAAATTTTTATTAGATTATATATTGTGGGTTCTATAACATACATGAATAATAAATAGATAAAAGTAAATTAAAGTTGTCGATAATAAATATATGCATACAAATATAATTTTGATAAACTTATAAACAATTATAAGCTTTGGCATACATTCACTTAGGGTCCGTTTGATTGTAACGAATTTCGTGGAAAATGTCATATCCGAGAAAACGAATTCCACTTTCGCCGTTTGATTGCAACGTGAAAATGAAAATCGAATTCCAATGTACAACTATTTTAAACTATATTTTCTTTGTTTTCATGAAAAACAAAATCATATGAGTTTGGTGGATTTTTGTTTTCCAACTAACATAGAATTTGAATTCATTTTCACATTTACCTATCAAATGGACCATAGTATTCGGTGCATTTCATTCTCAGTCAATCCATTATTAAATATTTAATTCATATTTACTACCTGTAATTACGATTTAAAGACCTACACTGATGGACTGTCTTTTCTTTCATGAATTAAATTTATTGAACATGGGTGGATTTTTTTTTTTTATTATTTCCATTCAAAGGTATTTATTTATTTTTTATTTTGCAGCATTTTAATTTGTGGGGAATTTGGTACGTTGAGTATGACATGGTTAAAAAATAGATATATATGATATAATTTGTTTCATAGTTTCAATGTTGTTCAATTTAATGACAAAATATATCATACATGTTTTATATCGGAAAACGTAAATATTATATAGCGATTCAAGAAGATTATGCCCCTTTTTAGTGGGGATTACAATTAAATTTGAAGTAAATTTTGATAAAAAATGATAAAGGTTGAAAAGTTATGGAACCCATAAAATGTGTAATTAAAATTAATTGTTGAATTTGACTTAAATTAAAATTTAGATTTTTTTGATACCAAACAAGAGTTATATGTTGACAAAACAACGCTGGTGTTGTTTTCTGACTGCATATCTTTAGTGGGACAGTGTTAACATGGTAGAAAGATTTCACGTTTTGATCTAGGAGGGATATATGAAATAAAATTATTTTGAATACTAAATAGTAAAAAAGTTTTTTTTGTTAAGGAGGAGAACGACATAATTAAAACACTGAGGACTAATCGTGAAAAGAGCCTTCGGCAAGTGACGTGGTGGGGCATGTGGAAAAGTAATGTTGTAAAATGGATCCTTACTTTTTCAAGTAATTGAAAAGGGGTCCACGCGGAGAGAATGGGACCCTTGATTTATTATTATTATTTCGTGGGATTTTGAAAATTTTGGAGATATTTTTTTTTAATTAGCACATAACGTCCTCATTTTTCACTATTATTATGGAAAACATTATTACATTTCATTTTGGGAAAATTGCGGCCGCGGTCCCAAACCTTTCATTTTATTGCAGATTACACCCAAACTTTTAATTTTTGCAGCCGAAGTCCCAAACCTTTATATGTAATAGCAGCGTCGGTCCCAAACATTTACTTGTTGCGGTAGAAGTCCCAAATCTTTGTACATAATTGCAGCGTCGGTCCCAAACCTTTGTATGTAATTGCAGCGTCGGTCCCAAGCCGTGAATTCCGTCCATAAAACCGTTAGTCAACGTTGAAACAGTAATTTTGACTCGGAAAAATTACATCACCGGTCCCAAACCTTTCATTTTGTTGCAGATTACACCCAAATCTTTCATTTTTGCAGCCGAAGTCCCAAACCTTTATATGTAAT